AAAGTAGTATAATTTTCTAACTTTTTCCTTCCTTTCCCCAAGGAAAACTCTCTATTCATCCATTTAATTTTTGTTTCCTTCATTTCCTTCTCCATAACTATACAACTTTGCATCAAGTGGTCCTTCTTCTTCCTTTTTTTTTTTTTTTTTTTTTTTTTTTTTTGCCCACTGCCCATGTATTATATGTTTTGTATATGAAAGTGATATAAGGCTTAATTGACAGTAAATTAAACTTATATTGACTCATCTTAGTATGACATTTTTAAATTTAACGAACAACAATAGTCATCTATACTTTGAAATAGAAAAGGAATGATAAGCCACGGAATAGAAAAGGAATGATAAAAACAGTTTGGACTTGGCCTAAACAAGAGTTCGTATTTAAACAAACAACATTTTCGAACTCACTAAGTAAAAAATCATCAAGCTCATAAGCTCATAAACCAGACTCGTCTATTAGAATTTATTTAGTTTTCTAATCAATTTTTTCCTTATTGATTCTAATTTCAAGTTCAAGTTTGAACTCAAAATCGATTAAACAAGTCAAACAAACAAAACTTGGATTTGATTCATCAAGCTGTGCCCAAACAGCCAAATTGATGTGTGTGTGTGTGTGTAAACAGTGTGTTGATGCTACCTGCAACGCTAGCTGGAGCTGAAAGATGATTCCACTTCCATCACGTTGGTTGTCTTACATTAAGATAGATTATATAGCTGAAAGTAACTGAAGGGAGTCACTTGCATTACTATTATTTTTGTTTATGGGTCAATGTCATGTCCTTAGTCTTTTCGCTTTTAATACCAAAAATAGTTCACATAAGACCTCTGCACCAATAGCTTCAGAAATTATTACATAGTTCCGTAATAATTATTAATTGAAATGTAAGTAAATGTGTCAGATTTTATTTGTGATACTTTTAAATTTTTGCGTGCGAATTGATTAGGCTCACACTTGAAGATTCGAAAATATTAGAATAATTGGACAACAAGCGAACGCAGAACACAAAAAAATAAATAAAGAATAAATAAAATGCGGAACGAAAAACTAAAATAATAATTAAATCCTTAAAAGAAACTTAGTAATAAAATCATCTGATACCAATAAACTTTATTAAAATACAATTCAGAATCTTTATCATGTGGAGCACTAATAAAATCTCAACTGAACTAAATAACAGTAACAACTGTCTATATTAGAACACTGATAACACAAAACAAAATCCTACATAAATGACTGGAAGAATGGTGATAATTGGTCTTTACTTTGCACGAACAAAATTTACACTTAGTATAGATATAGACCTGAAAAATAAATAATGGGTCAGACCCACAAATAAACTTTTTCTACTACATCCCAAACCAAAACCTAATGAACGAATACACCCTAGTCAACTTATGCAATAGTTATATAGTCGGTATACATATATAAATACACACTAATAATTTCTACAATAATTTCTCGAATAGCTCATGTACTATAATAATTACAAAAATAAAAGAATTGCTTGTTAGTTCTAAAAATTGGCAAATCAACTTAATTAGGCTTTTCTTGTTGAATTCACCACACAGATTTTTAGTTGTTGTCTAATTCATTGAGTGTTGGGAGTTGCTAATAAAAAAGCTTCTTTTTTTTTTTTTTTTTCAAAACGAAAAAAAAAAATATTTTTTTTATATTTTGTATGTTTCAAAATCCAAAATTTAAATTTACATTTTGGTCTCATCATTTTAGCCTCACTTTTTGTTATTTCACTTAAAAGCAATTTGAGATAAACTTTGATATGGACTCGATATAGAGACTGAATTCAAGCTCTAAATCATTTTCCTTTTTACACTCTTACACTTTTGCATAAAAACTCATTTTATCTCTAAAAGCTATATTTATTCACTTTATTACTTTTCATGGATAGGATTACGGTAGCAATTTAGACGGGTTAGAGGTACAACTTAGGTCCAATCCGGACATATAAAATGTTCACTCTAGCCCAATACTAAATGCTCAATCCATCATTAAATTTTTAAACCTGACTTGAGATTTCAGGTTAGGATTTCAAATTAATTCAAATTATCCCATGACCAATCTCCTCATTGAAATTTTATAAACGATCTTTAGTTAGTTTTATATTAGATTACTCTAAGTGCAAATTTTTTAAAAAAACTTAATGCAAAATTCTAAAAACTTACAAACAAATTCTTAAGAAATTAATTTTCAAAGTTTAACCATACAATAAATTAAGATTGAAAAGAATAAATGTGATCATAATGTGATTATTATATATAATTTATTTTTAAAAAAATATTTAAGTATAAAATAATATTAAAATTTAAGTTTGGGTTTGGTTTGGTTTGCAGACATCTCAACCCTAATTAAGTTTGGTTTGAAGTTTTTTAATCTAGTCTAACCTTAGTTGTAAAAATAATTATCTTAACCTGTGAAATATTGGGTTAGGCTCAGGTTGAATTTGGATACATATATATATATATATATTGTTTTTTTACAAGGTAAGAAATATTAAAAGTTATATTAGTAGATACAGATAGTCGAAACCTGGAACTTTAAAATTTATCGAAGACCCTAATAAAGTAGTGAAACAATTCGTTCGTTCATTCAAAGTGGACCTTTATGTTAGTGGGTGTTAGGAATTAGTAAACTGATTCATACGTGCACATTAAAATTTTAAATATATTTGCTAAGGACATATTTGATATGCATTTTATTTAAAAATTCGACTCTTCCATTCTATCCCATCCCAAAATTTAACGCAATTTGATCTTTGGTCTTATCAATATGTGAATAATTTCTCATGTCCATATATTTTAATGTGTTGTTTACTTTATCACTACTATTTAATGCAACCGACACAAGCAACAATGAAGTCTATAATATTCTCGTAAACAAAACATTGGCTAAGTGTATATATTCAAGGTAATTGGTCAATCAGATATTTGTCTCATATTAAAAAGAAAATCACACCATTTGTAATCACATCAATATTATTATTATTCTAATGAGCCAAGGAAGGATGCTCGACTTTCACAATCAAAGTCTCATCTTAACACCCACGCTAATACGCTTAAGTGTGTTGATAATGCAACACACCTACTCGTGCACATTTTGCAAATTGCTTACTTCTCGAATTTCTTATTTATCTTTTAAAATAAAAAAGATTATACCATTAGACTAATGTCCATTAACATTATTAAAAAGTCAAATTATGGCTCATTTCATTCAACAAAATCTCGGATTAGACCACGATAAATAGGGATGAACATGAATGCCTGAAAATAAATGAATTTTCATATAGTTCTTAGAAATATGCATCTTAGACCGGACATCTTCTTTGAAGTAGTAGATTTCATGTAAGTATGTAAGAAGTATAATTGTCTTTCAAAAATGCTCATACTAAAAGAGTAATGATAGAGAGTTGACAGTCAGACATATCCAAATAATTTTATGTGAGTATGAGCAGAAGTCAGAATTGTTGGATTTTTAGACGCAAAATCATAATCCATACAAAAATTATTTTATGCTACAAGTTTTGAAGGGCAGTTGTGGAATTGTAACTTTTATAAAATAAAGATAATGTAAAAGTATTTTTCATATCGGTAAATTGTTTTATAAAAGGCTATATTTAATATTTATTGGTCCAGCCTTATTAATAGGGTGAAATGGCAGTTAGGGTTTTTAAAAGCTATATCAATGTCATACAGCTTGGACCACATTACATAATTCCACATTACATAATTTGTCCTTGTAGGCAAATATCATGTGCAATTAATAAATCTCTATACCTTATACATCTTCGTTGATGTGTTTCTTTTGTAACTTAATATATTATACTTAATTTCAAATAAATTAATAAATTTTCAATTAAGTACATTTAATAATAGAGCGAGATACCACTTATCATCCGTAATCGAATTTCAATTTACCAAAATTGTTATACTAGAGTCGGAGTAAGTGCGAGAGTGTGAAAACTGCAAAATTTAAGTTTCACAAAATTTGGATGAAAGTGAGAGAGTAAGCAAAGAATGAGAGTAACACGTATTGAGAGAATAATTGTATGACTTATATTGTTACATTAAACATTGAAAAGGATTATAATATTAATCCTCAATCATCCGTGATCGAATTATATAGAGCATTTAGATTGTTCGATTCTTTATTTCATTATCTCAATTATTTACTTTCCCTTCTATGTTATTAGATGGGACTGAACTATGGTCCAATTTCTTTGTTTGTTTTTCAAATAAGAAAAACAAACTTGCAAGAGTTCAATAACATATTAGAGGAATTTGAACTCTAGTTTTGATTGAATTGGACTACTAAGTGAATTATGGTCAGAACCATCTAATAACTTTTCTCTTATCATGTTTAAAGAATGGATTATCAGTATTACCTTTGTCTTTATTTCATTATCTCAATTATTTACTTTCCCTTCTATGTTATTAGATGGGACTGAACTATGGTCCAATTTCTTTGTTTGTTTTTCAAATAAGAAAAACAAACTTGCAAGAGTTCAATAACATATTAGAGGAATTTGAACTCTAGTTTTGATTGAATTGGACTACTAAGTGAATTATGGTCAGAACCATCTAATAACTTTTCTCTTATCATGTTTAAAGAATGGATTATCAGTATTACCTTTGTCTCACTTGGTATAAATAAATGTCCTTGTTCAAATATCTACTTATAATACTATAACATTATTTGATGAAAAAAATTAATTTCCAAGTTAAACGATGTATGTGATTTGCCAATGAATTTGCAAACCTCCCAAAAAATTGTTAATAATCATTTCAATTCATGCGTCAAACTAATATCCAAAGTTCGACAGAATTAGATCATAGACTCATGCCTTAGCCCAAAAGACAAAAAGGCAGTCACAAAGTCATGATCATTCACCCGACCCGAATGCAGTCCCGGGTCCCCGTTTTCACCCGAGATTGTAACGTTGTTCTTGTTCTCCTCGTTCACAAGGAAAGTCCCTGCGTTTTCGCTTATATAAACCCCCGTCAATCCCACATTCTCTCTCATCCTCTTCGAACGAACCTTCTCCACATCAACAGCTTTGAGAGAGAAAGAGCTAGAGTGAGAAAGAGTAGCATCTTAGAGAGAGAAACTAGGGGCTATAAATCAATTCGGAGAAGATGGCAATGGCGGTCGATGTATACATTCTGGGGACTTTCTTTGCCTCTTTGCTAGGGTTTGTTTTTCTCTACATTGTGCGACATGGGGCCGAGAAACAGAAGAGAATTGGTAATCATAGAGCTACTAGTGACTTTGAGATCCGAAACGATTGCGCTCGGAGCTCCACCAACGGTGAATGTGAGTCCGATGACGGACCGCAATCTGACGTCATCATTGTCGGAGCCGGCGTCGCCGGTGCCGCCCTCGCTCACACCCTCGGCAAGGTGAGAATTTTTTTTCTTTTCTTTTTGCCTTCTCGAAGCTGTTTGTTTCCTAGGAAATTTGTTCTCTGGAACTAGGAAGAACAAGAAGTTGGAAATTTCCATTGGGAATTTCTTCTTTTGTAACCCTTTTGATTCCATGGAAATGCTTTTTTTAGAGTTGTTTTTTTGGGAAGCCATTTCAAAACAGAGCATATATATAAATATAATATTATGTTTCTTCATATAACTTAGAAGAAGTTACCTATTGAAGAACTGTTCATCTTCTCAAGATCTGCTTTTTTTTTTTTTTCATGTCATATTTGATCTGTTATGAAATTCTCTGTAAAATTAGGAACATGATAAACATCAAGCTAGAAAATTCCTAATGTATTTTTTAATGCCTTTTCCAGCATTTTTCTGATGATTCTTCACTCCTTTGTGGATTAGTTAAGGTGTTTGACAGGATTATACAAAACCATAAAGAGGTCCTCTTATGGGTAATAATACATGGTTATGTTTACTCAAAAGTAGGGATGGAAAAAGTTAATTATGGTTTGTTAATGAAATGGAGGGACTGAATATCAGCTCCTTAAGTAGGCTTACATCTGTCTCGATTATTATACTGTAGGAATTCAAGTTGAGGACTAATGTGGAAAATGGCTACTGCTTTTCTAGCATGCCAAGCATATCTAGTTCGGGTTTGTTTACGATTAATTGATTTTTTTGAGAAACAAATTGCCCACCATGGTTATGAGTGATCGATCTTTGAGCAATCAACCTCTATCTATTGTGCATAGGTTCTAGTGGTGGCAATCACTATATAGTCTGCATATCTTTAACTTCGAGCTTGTCATACATGAATTACACAAAACTTAGGCCTTTAAATTGAGGGCCGTGAAGTTAACAAAACTGATCAAGTTGGCTTGAAGGGGATGCATAATTTTTATTTAATTTTGATAACGAATGCGTGGTTGTTTTACCGATGGAACTGGATTTATGATGTCTAAATAAAAACTCCCTTTTTTTGCCTCCTACTTTTTCCTTTTTTTCTTCTGATAGCAAACCATACACTACTATGAGTCTCTCTATTTTTTCCCACCCTTGGCCATGACTAAGCTTTTATGACAATATAGTCATTTCAAGATGACATAGACGGGTCTTTTTTAGTTCTTTATGCATAAACCTTAATCTATATTTTGATTTCTTGCTACTTGTTGCAGGATGGACGTCGGGTTCACGTGATTGAAAGAGATTTGACAGAGCCTGATAGAATTGTTGGTGAACTACTACAGCCAGGTGGATACCTCAAGTTAATTGAATTGGGTCTTGAAGGTATGCATTACAATTAGCATGATCTGATTTTATGACAGCCTGCTATGAAATTAAAATTTTGGACCTGTTTTAAAATATATTCTGTGGGGAAGAACTATCCGGCAACTGAACCTGCTTTTCCATAAAATATTTGGTTGTAAATATAAAACATGCACACTGCAGACTGTGTGGAGGAAATTGATGCCCAGAAAGTGCTTGGATATGCTCTTTTCAAAGATGGGAACAATACAAGACTGTCTTATCCCTTGGAAAGATTCCATTCAGATGTAGCCGGAAGAAGCTTCCACAATGGACGATTCATACAAAGGATGAGGGAAAAAGCTGCTAGTCTTCCCAAGTATACTTGTTTACCATCACTGCAAATAATGAGTTTCTTATTCTTACACCGTTCTCTCAATTCATTACGGAAATGTTATATTTTGATTTAAAGACTGATCTTACATTTTAGAAATATTTGGGGAATCGAAACTGACTTCTTTCTAAAATTGTGCATATTTGTGCGTATTTGTAGTAATGTAGTTAATCTGCATGCAGAACACCTAAATTGGAAGAGCTACTCACGTCTAGAAAGTGCAGGATTGTGCCGCCTTAGTTTAAATAAAATTATCAGTTCCATTATATTAGTTCTAAATGCCCCTTGGCACATCTATTAGTATCAAATTCTCATGCAAAGCATTTGTGAGAAACTTCTCCTTTCCTGAATATTATTTACGATCTAAATTTCTGGTGAGTTTGTATGTCAGACATCCTCACTTTAGCTCTATTGCATCTATTGTTCTTTTCTTTCAGACAATCATTCAACACTTTTTTATTTTTATTTTTTTTTCCATTTTGGATCTAAAAATATCAACAGGTCCTTTTTTTTTTTTCCAGTTACTATCACACTTTTTTTTAGTACATAATCTTTGTTTCTAATATGTATTATTGGACAATTACTTTGACCTAGTTCAGTACATGGTATAACTAGTTCATTGCATAGTATAAGTTTAACGTATGGAATCATAGATATATAATAGATTATAAATTTTAGTGGCTATCTCGTAATTTCAGTGTTACTATTACTTGTTTATTGATCCCACTGTCCCTATTTGGTGTGCAATTTTCTATCCAGTGTACGACTAGAGCAAGGAACAGTAACATCCCTCCTTGAAGAAAATGGAACTATAAAGGGGGTTCTGTACAAAACAAAGACTGGTCAAGAACTCAAAACATATGCTCCTCTTACAATTGTTTGTGATGGATGCTTCTCAAATTTGCGTCGCTCTCTTTGCAACCCTAAGGTAGAATTCTGAAATCTTTACCTGTTAAAACCTTCATCCTGTTTGACTGATTTAGTAACAAATTATCTATAAACATTTGTTGTCTAGCTGATTAAATTTGTAGCCTCCTTTGATCCACTTGAGAAGTTAGATAATGTCTGTCTACTTTTTGTTTTAGCCCCCTGTTTTTCATGTAAATTTTTTGCATTATAAAATATTTTACAGTACTTTTTATGCAGCTAAACACTGGAAAATATGGAAAATGTTTTCCAAAGAACATTTTTACATTGAAATAAACAGAGCATTTCTCTAAGTTATTTATGCACAGTTGTGCTCCATCTTTTTCATGAGTTATACTTCTTTACTTCTATAATTTACAGGTAGAGGTACCATCTTGCTTTGTTGGTTTGGTCTTGGAGAACTGTCAACTTCCGTTTGCAAATCATGGGCATGTTATTTTAGCAGATCCTTCACCTATCTTGTTTTATCCAATTAGTAGTACCGAAGTTCGCTGTTTGGTTGATGTACCCGGTCAAAAGGTTCCTTCTATTGCTAATGGTGAAATGGCCAACTATTTGAAGACCATGGTTGCTCCCCAGGTATCTATAATCTTCACTTCCTGATTTAGATTTTTTCTAATATCTGAAAGTCAAGTCTGCTATTTTGCAGTAATTTAATCAAAATTTTGTTGACCCATCTCATCCTAAACCAGCTGATCTCAGCAAGATCATACGTTGTCTACTCTTGTATAGTACCTTGGGTTAATCAAATTGTGCTTTGTTCAGATTCCATCCGTACTGCATGATGCATTTATAGCTGCAATTGATAATGGAAATATAAGAACAATGCCTAACAGGAGCATGCCGGCAGCGCCCCATCCTACTCCTGGAGCCCTACTAATGGGGGATGCTTTCAACATGCGTCATCCTTTGACCGGTGGAGGAATGACTGTGGCACTATCTGATATTGTTGTGCTACGGGATCTTCTTAAGCCCCTGCGAGACATGACTGATGCAGCTTCCCTATGCAGATATCTTGAATCCTTTTACACCTTACGTAAGGTAAGATGATTCATTATTGGTCTTATGTAAAAAGATTAGAAGTTTGGATGCAAATTGCTTTATTTAAATGTTAAAGGATGGCTCAGAATTGTCTATTAATTCTGAAGAAGGATTAAACTGTTTGACTAGATATCAGATATATTAAGAGGGGAAAAGTAGTCATAACAGACATACCCTACTTCTAAATTCAAATTGCAAATATTAAATTACGGTTTCAGTTTCCTTTTTGTTTAACTGCCTAATCAAACTATTGATTTTTTATTTTTTATTTTCTGGACATGAAACATTATAAATTCATTGTTATTTTTTCAATCTGAATCCACTTGGTATCTTTTTTTTTTTTTTTTTTTTTTTTTTTTTTTTTTTTTTTTTTTTTTTTTTTTTTTCTTCAGCCTGTGGCTTCCACTATAAATACTTTGGCAGGAGCACTGTACAAGGTGTTTTGTGCATCTCCAGATCAAGCAAGAAAGGAAATGCGTCAAGCATGTTTTGATTATCTGAGCCTCGGAGGTGTTTGTTCGACAGGACCTGTGGCTCTACTCTCTGGTTTAAACCCTCGCCCGCTAAGCTTAGTTCTCCACTTCTTTGCTGTGGCTATATATGGTGTTGGTCGTCTTTTATTACCATTTCCTTCACCTAAACGCCTATGGACGGGAGCTAAATTGATTTCGGTAGGTAGCCTTATCCTTTGCAATTCAATTCATGGTTTATAGGATACAAAACATACATTATCCCCAGCTAAACAAACTCTATCTATGCTGATGTGCTAGTCAAATGAACAAAAGACTACCATTTTTACGTATCAAAATTATATGCTTGTAACTCAGAATTACTTTTCTTTCTACATAAAGCAAGAACCCTAGATATCCCAACCAAGATATTCTAAAAAGCAAAGAAACAAAATATTATATTATGTTTTTCCTTTTTAAGAAAAAAAACTTTTCACGAACAACTCTTCTATTCTTTCCAGGGTGCATCCGGTATCATTTTTCCCATCATAAAGGCTGAAGGAGTGAGGCAAATGTTCTTCCCTGGAACCGTTCCTGCATATTATAGATCTCCTCCTTGTAAATGAATTGCATGTCAAGGTAATTTTCGGTTGAAAACAAACTAGTTTCTCCTCTCAGCTACCTGTTCAAAGTGAAAAAAAAAAAAAAAAAAAAGAGATTGTATGTTTAGTGCTTCAACTGGGGGATGCTGGGAAATAATTTTTGAATTTTTGAGACAACTTTTAGCTGGAAATAGGATGTATCAAAATATCATGTATGAATGCTAATTCTCTTACAACTTTAAGAAAGTGTTATTCCATATTGGTACTGTAAAAATCAGATGTAAAATCCTATTGACATATATATCTTCAATGAAAGTCCCTACTGATTGTGATATTTATAGGTATACTCTTGTTACACTGGCACCACAACATCCATGATAGTATATAGTGTAGGAAGTAAATGAGTTTTGGTGGAGAAAACTTGAGCTTTCACTTACTAAAGATGTAAAAATTACAATCCATTGAGTGAGGTATGTTCAATGAAATTTGCCAAGACTTCACTAAAATCGTAGTAGTCCTAAAATGTTTTCTGCAAGAGAGTTTTTGAATTGAAGACTTGAAGTAATGCAATATTATCAAGTAACTAGAACTTAAAGAAGGAATATAGAGAAAAATAGATTATATATCAATTTTTGAATCTTCTATATAGTAAGGGTACAAATGGAACATTTAGTGATTTAAAAACTTAAATGGAAAAAAAATCTCAAAAATAGGACTTATTGGACTTAAAGAAAACTTTTGGAACTTATTTGTCTTTCAATGAAAAAGAGTAAGGACATGACATTATTTTTTTTCTGCTAGATATAAAAATATATATACATACACAAACACCATGGTAATTAAGAAAGTAAACAAACACACTCACACCCCACATGATGCCCAACGAGATTTGAACTTTTGACTTTAGAAGGTAAGAAAGTATCACTACACCTTTGATGATTTTTTCAACTAAATATATAAATTTCGTCTAAATCCATAATTCACATATTAACTCAAAACTTAATTGTGACCATCTAATTAGTGTATTTATATAATTCATTGAATTATCAAAAAGACCTAACACATTCATTCCAGCCTTCCTTGTAAGAATCCATTTGACCTTGAAATTGTGTGCATCTGTCTCTGAGAGAGAACAATTGAAGGATACGTGTGATACTTGAAATCATAACCTGAATGTGTGTGAGAGAGATTGTTTTTCTGTGTGAGAGAGAACTTGTTTTTCTGTGTGAGAGAGAACCAAAGAAAGTCCCGCTGGGAGGGTTAGATGGTAGTAGTTAGGGTTAGATCGTAGTAATCCTAAAATGTCTTACCTATGCACGTGAAGAGACCGTTTCCTTGTTTTGAATCAATGACGTCCATACCACAGAAAATTGAATTCCTCTGTACTTGTAATGATTTTAAAAGACTTCCTTTTTTGTTATGTCACCTTTGAATTCATGACAGAAAATTGAAGTGGATGAGTCCGAGTTTTTGTAATTTTCCTGAGTTGATTTTGTTTTTATGTTGTAGCAAAGAAAGCAGAGGAAAAGAAGTAAAACAGAGTCCGATTACAATGTTTTCTATTGTTTGTTTCATAATAAATGAAAAAACTACTCTTGCTCATAGCCACTCCATTGGTTGCTGAGAAAATGGAGGAAAGAAAGCAATATTGTGTTCTTTTTCCTCTTTCAAAGAGATTAAAAAACCTAGAACAGTTCATCCTCCTTGTTTGGTTGGGAAGCGTTCAGTAATAAAGTAGTTTAAATTGATAAAAGCAATTTTGTTGCATTAATTGTCTAATTCTTTTTTTCCTTTTTCCTTTACATTTTTCAAACTAGCGATTTTGAAATAAAATATTCCTTTTCCCTTTTTCCGCCACTTTCCTTGTTTCATTCCAAATCTGCTGATTCTGCTCAGCTATCATCTTCCATCATCAAATACATGGCTTCCATCATCACCAAAATATATATATATATATATATACATACATAAATGAAACTTCGTCAAAACCCACTAAACTTAATAAATAAATAAATAAAACTAATTCATTAAAAACAAACACCAAAAAAACAAAATATCAATAACTCAAAATCAATTCTTATAAACGGAAATAATTAATCCTGACAAGTAAAATTGATGAAATAAATATAAATTAAAATGGGGCTTGTCACAGCACCACAGCGAAGTAAATAAGTTTTGGTGGAGAAAACTTGAGCTTTCACTCTTTTTTTCCGGTTCTGCCCATCAACTTCAACTTGTTTAGAAACTAGTATTGTGGCGCAACGAACCAGAGATTGGTACCCCTCCTCCTTGGGATCATGCCAAATGACAAGGAACTCATTACCACCACGGAAATGAACAAGAGGCGGCCTATCATATCTCCCGTCAAGTAAAAAACGCTCTAAACCTACGATAATGGTGCTGCCCGACACGACACTCTGAGATCCATATCATACACAACTAACTCTGCCAGGGATCTCTCCTGACGCAAATCCAGTTTCACTCTTCTTCAATGTAAAATCAAAAGCAGAGTCCAGTGAATATTTGTATCATAGGCAAGGAGGCATTCGGTGTTGATCGTCCTTTGATGCTTCATCATAAGTTACAAAGAATCCACCATCGTATTTAAGAGACGGAATTGGATGTATTTCCTTGACTGGGTCGAAAACCTCTATCTCTGGACCTCTTCCACCGCCGTGGACGCCGCCAAAGACATAGATCTTGTCATCAGCGGTACGGACTTCTTCCACCTCGTAGCGTTCATCGAACCAACATACCTAAACTTCCTCAGTGACACATCCGCGGCACGGACTTCTTCAGAGTAATAGCCATCGGTTCTATCACAACCTCCAATACTGTAAATGGTTGAGCCAAGAGCTGTGGAGTCTCCACCTTCTTCCAGATCGGTTCGTTCGCCGCCGTCAACTGAATCATTGCTTGATGATAATTTAACTTCGTACCAGTCCATCTTTCCTCCATTAGAGTCGTTTTTACACAAACGAATATAGACAGTTTTCTCAACCACCGACGCCAGACGGAGATGGATTTGAGTCTCCGAACGTCATTCTTGAATCACCAACAAACAAAAGATGGATTTGGGTCCGCTGTTGCCATCTCGATCGTCAGCCAAGCCGCCTCAAGTTTGTGTATTTATCTTAGGGTTTCGCAATTGCAAAGATTAATGAGCCTCGAGGGTCATAATATATAGTAATATATTGATCCAATGGTTTAAGGAAGTTTTGTATAAGAAAGTCTTGTATGCAGAAATTAGGTAGGGGATTTTCTCTCGATCTATATATTGCTTGCAGATAGAAATAAATTAAAAAATTTCATGCTAGAGCAATCTGTATCTCTTATTTTAATTTATTACTTCAGAAAACGTGTGTGCAAGAGTTTATCATGGTCGCCATCTGCAAATAGTCTATATCTTTATGGCAGCAGCATATAAAACGGATACAGATGAAGCGAATCATTACGCTCTGTTTGGTGTTTGGAATAAACTGGAATTCTAAGTAAATGACTTTTGGGAAAATTATATTTTGGTGACCAAAATGAAATATAATTGTTTTATAGTGATCTTAAAGTCAAGAAAAGGTATCTAATGACCAATGTTGAAATTTAATTAATTTTAAGTGACCATTTAAGTATAATTTGGTCAAAAACACTTACGGGTTTGATAAATATTTTAAAAATAAATTTTAGATGACAAAATTGCCATCCAATACAACCCATTAACAGTTAGCAAAATTCTAAAATTAATTAATAATGGTCATTATTTTTTAAACTATAACTTAGTAGTATTAAAAAAATTCCTAAAATTAAAATCTTATACCTTAGGGAAGATTTCTTAAACAAATCAACTTATAAAATAAGGTGAACGGTATTAAACCCCCCTTTTCTATTTGGGTTTTGCACTAAATACCCCTTTTCTATTTTTTTGTCAAAAAACCCCCCTCAACTATTCGAGGGGAGTGATTTAACATACGAAAGTTAACTAAGTAAGATCTGAAATAAAAATTGACTAAAGTGCCCATTAGGCCTGTTTGGACATATACTTTGCCTTTGATTTTTTATTTTCTATTTTTTATTAAATCACCTCAAACATGTAAACTCTGGTTCCACGCCTCATGATCGAGATCAAATACCTACACCTCACTCTCGCTTCAAACCTCACGCCTCATTCTCGCTTCAAAACTCACGATGGAGATTAATACTTTCATTCATGGTACACAACGCTATTAGAATGTGAACTTCTTAAAGCTTTATTCAAAGTCCAGATCTTTTGAGGTTTTTAAGGTGGTGGTAGTCCTGTGGTCTCTGTGGTGATTTCTTTTGAGAAGAAGACAAGACAAGAAAACAACAATTACTTTTCAAAAAAATTTGGTATGTTTGGAATTAGAGTTTGTTTGTTTCTTATTGAGATTCTCTCTAGTTGTTTATGATTAATTAGGGAAAAAAAAATTGTTTATGATTTAAAAATTAAGATTTTGTAGTTTAATAACGTTGAATGCATTATTAAGTTGTAAGCTTAAAGATTTTTCAGGTTCAGGTTCGTTCCTCACCGTTCGCACTTTAATTACAACTTCGATTTTTCAACCAACCAAAGGGCACTCCTCTTCGCAATTAGATAAACCCTAAATAATTCTTCTTGACACGACGACCTAATTTTAATCAAAGCAGCAGCGGCGGCGACAGAGACTGCACAGATTTCACCACGCCGCCGCACAAACTAGTTTCCATTGGTCGGTGACCATTGCATGCAAGTGGTTGATTTCCAAGTAGGTTAGTGTGTGTATATCTTAAAGTTTTTCTGTTTGTTATAAAATTTTCTCTCTCATGATTATGTACTGCGTTTGGGCACGAGAATAGATTTCTTTGGTCGTTCACTGGAACTCTCGTCGGTATTCGTCAGCCCTAATTTTCTCTTTCTGTTATTTTGTGCAAAAGTACCGAGTCGGAGAGAGCTAGCCTTTGTTATGCGATACTCCTACATACATATATTAATTAGATATACATATATATATATATATGTGTGTGTGTGTGTGTATCAAAAGTTGTATATGTATTATGTTGCGTTGGAACTTGGAACTTATACACATAGGACAATTATTATAACTCCGTGTCAAACAAAAAAAAAATTTATGACTCCACCCATATGCTGTGTGTGGGATGGGAATAGGATCTCTAGGGCGGGTGATTGTACCGATTTAGTGCATGAATAAACCTTATTATCAACCCATTTCCCAACCTCGACACGAGCAGGCCTGATGTATTTGTCTAAGCCACTTCGTTTCTTTTGTGTCCATGTTTCTTTGAAGTTTCTAAAAGTTCAATATTAGGGAAGTAATATGAGTT